ACAAACATGGGTTCTGTCCGAAACGATTGGCGGCCCGGGGCAAGATTCCCTCGGTTCCAAGATTCAAGCACCATGGCAAACCGGTTGGCAGATCATCCAGTCTGCTGGCCACTTTCAAAGTCAATGTCGCGGAGAATCACAAGTTCGTGTCGGTCCACATCAACTGTCGTCTGTTTTGTCTACAACTGGATACAGCCTCCGACATCCTGATTATCTCCGGGGCTCTCTGGTGAAAACTGGGCAGCCCTCCTGTCCATCGATAACCTCAAACCGCCACCAGTGCCTGTGGTGGTACTGTGCAGTTGACTGGCCAGCTGCATTGTTCGGTATCATTCCGAGCGGCAACAATCAACGGGACGTGTTGCGTTTCCGACACTGACCTGAATCTCTTGGGTCTTGACTGGATCAAGCAACTTGGCCTCCTGGATCTTCCCATCCGGTCAATCTGTAACCACGTGCGGTCCGTTGACATGCATGGCGATCTGTCCGACCACATCATTCATCAGTTCGCTCCGGTGTTCCAAAATGGTCTTGGTCAGTGCACCCGCACTCAGGCCACATTGCACCTTCGTCGCGGAAGCCAACCGGTCTTCCGACCCAAACGGCCGGTACCATATGCAGCCCCTCCTCTGGTCGATCAGGAACTGCAACGTTTGGAACAACTTGGTGTTCTGAACCCGGTCGCACACTCTGCATGGGCCGCACCGATTGTCGTGGTAAAGAAGTTTAATGGGTCCATCCGGATCCGTGCAGATTTCTCCACTGGGCTCAATGCGAGCTTAGAAGCGAACTGCCATCCGCTTCCCATTCTCGATGACCTGTTCACAATGCTCAATGGCGGCACATGCTTCGCCAAACTGGACTTGGCGGAAACATACTTCCAAATCGAGGTCGCACCGGAATCCCATGAACTGGTCACGATCAACACCCACAAAGGTCTATTCCAATACAACAGGCGCCCGTTCGGCGTGAAGACTGCACCCGCCATCTTCCAGCAGATTATCGACGCCATGGTCTACTGGGTACAGCCGCATACCTGGATGATATTATCCTGATGGGTCGCTCAACTGAAGCACTCCACAGTCGCATTGTGGCTGTGCTCCAGCGCATCCAGTACTACGGGTTCTGACTGAAGTCCGAAAAGTGCCAGTTCTTCCTACCGTCGATAAAGTACTTGGGCTTTATCTTCGACTCTGACGGTCGCCATCCTGACCCGGAGAACATTCGGGCCATTCAACAGATGCCAGCTCCTACTGATGTCGCAACGCTTCGGTCCTTCCTTGTACTCATCAGCTACTACAGCTCATTCCTGTCAACTTTACATGATGTTTGGGCCCTGCTAAACCAGCTGCTACAGAAAGAAGCTAAATGGGACTGGTCGGCTGAATGCGAATCGGCTTCTGCAAAACTGAAGACGATGCTCAGTTCAGATCTCCTACTGACACACTACGATCCATCTCTCCCAATCGTTTTGGCCGCGGATGCCTCCAACTACGGGGTTGGGGCAGTGGTTTCGCACATCTTCCCGGACGGTTCTGAAAAGG